AGTTTGAACAATTAGAAAGAAGAGTAAATTACACGATTCGTCCCTGGTCCAAATGCTAAATTGCGCGTTCAATCCCTAATTTCAAAAATTAACTCGGATCATCCCTCATTTAGTTAAAAGTTGCACGTTTGATCCCTCGTTAGTTTAAATTTACACGCTTAATCCTTTGCGAGACATATAATGACTATAATGCCCTTTGTAATTTTATTTTTCATTTATTTTTATCATTTTTAATTATTAAAAATATTTTAAATAAAATTATAGGTCAATCTAATATCTCTCTCTCTCTCTCTCTCTCTCTCTCTCTCTTGTTGAAGAACACTTAACCACCACCAATATCACTGAGCCTGAGCCGCCACCAGAAAATCTACCCTCACCTCACTCCACTCCACTCCCTAGTTCAAAGCTCAAGACCACCACCCTCCTTCCATCGAGGCACCCGTTTCACCTCCTTCTTATGATACATGTTTCCCGGAAAAAGAACCACAAACCACCACCTCCTTCACCATCGCCACCCTCTTGTACAAACACCAGTTAAAAGCTAATCGTGAACCTCCATTAACCACCTAACCAGTAACATCACCTCAAACAGCCTCCACCGGGAAACCCACATATGATCACTTCAAACACCACCTGTAGAATCTCGACCCACCACCATCATCACCAAAATACCACCTTCGTATACCAGATGGATGATACCATTTTCCAACCACTGTAACTACCTGATGTGATCACAATCTCTGGTGAGAGAGTCGTAGACGATTTCTGGATATGGAGGATTGCCATCATTACAGCCTCCGGTGGAACCACCAATGTCGCCTCATCACCACAGTCTACGGTGGAACCAGTAACTTTGCAATCACCATCACCATTGTCCCCTGTTCGACAATTTATTACACCACAACCTGCAATTCATTGTCTCTCTAGACTTCACTGAGATAAATAAAGCCCAAATTAGAGAGGGGTTTCTCTAATCTTGATTTGTAGTGAACTAGAATCGGGAAAGAGAGGGTTGGGTTTAACTTCAGGTGGTCTGCTTCGAAATGTAGAGAAATCATGGACATAGCTTCAACTCCCAAACGAGAAGCAAAATCGAAGAAGATGACCATGGCTTCGAAATGTGTCGCCATCGTCGAACCATCTAGTGTTCGCCATCAACTGAATCATCGTCGCCCGCATCTCTCTGTACCTCAGATTCTCGTATTTCAAACGAAGATGCAGGTGGGTCTAGGGTTTTGAATGGGGATGGAGGCGAATGACAAAGAGGGAAACGAATGGGCAGAAGGAAATCAGGGAACGGGTTAGGGTGTTCTTGGGTAGAGATATATTTTTTTTCATTTTTTTAATCAAAAATTATAAATTAATAAAAGAAAAATTAGAAAAAAAATTATTAAGGGCAAAATAGTCATTTTCTGTCAATAGGGACAACCCCAATGAAAAAAAGATAATACAGGGACGGTCCGAGTTAATTTTTGAAAATAGGGACAGAACGTGCAATTTAGCATTTGGACCAGGGACGAATCGTGTAATTTACTCTAGAAAGAAAGTTGGTTTTTGAAAATATAAGTAATGGTTTTGGTTGTGTATGTTTGTATCAATGCTTAATGCTTTAAATAACGTGAGGAAGCTTCAAGTTTTATAAGTAGGTTAAGACCATGACATTTTTAACACTTAAGACAATTTTGTACCTAATTTATAATTTTATATGTAAACATATGTTCCGTGTTATATACAAATATAAAACTTAAGGTGACGTTCTTATGGCATCACGTACAAGCCTATGAGCCATGACACGTATTGGCTAAACCATGAAAGACTTTTTAGAACAATAGTTTGTACACACTTGAAGAAAAAGTAAATGGTATGTGTCGAGTTTAAAAAATCTAGCAATAGCATTTCTCATAGTTTTATTTTCTTGCAAAGATGGTCCTACAAACAATGTTTACAATCAAACATTAAATACTATAAAATGTCCATTTTACCCTCCTTTTATCATTTTCATATTTATTTATTTATTTTGTTCTTCTGTTTTTTATAATTAGTTATTAGAGTAAATTACTGTTTTGGTCCATGTGGTTGGCACTTTCCTGTAATTTTAGTCCATGTTTTGAAAATTTAGCATGGTTTGTCATCATGGTTTCAAAATGCTACATGCTTGGTCCCTTTAGTTGTTATCGTTAATGGCCCTCCGTTAAAATTCCTTATATACCCCTCACATAAGGGCTTTTTTTTTTGTCTTTTTACTTGTTCTCCTAACATAGTGCCATTATTATCATCATGATTATGATCGTGATTATTACAATCAATCTCTAATCTATGGTTATCTTCTTCCCCCAAGAAAACTCCGTTCATCTTCTTCATCCGATCCTTCTTTGTGATCCTTTTTATACGTCGCTCGGATTAAATCTCTCTAATAAAGAAACACGACGATTTAACCTACAATATGGAACATTTGAAGTTCAAGAATCCATAATAGTGCACGCTAAATGATATATTCAAACTTTTGAACTTAAACCCTCTAACCTTAGGGTGTTTGTTAGGTAATCTAGATGACTTGCATATAGATAAATATGATACAACAAGCACGTATAGTGATGGTAGGGGTAACAGTTCAATAGTGACTCTGATGTTGATGATGATTTCAATAGTGTAGTTAATAAAACAAATTTGGAAGATAGTCACATATTGAAGCCATTAATGCTAAGAAATATTATGTTTGTTGGTTATGAAGAGGATAATAGGCAAAGGTTGTTAAATAATTTGAGAAAACCAAAATTTTGTTTTGTAGGTTAAGTACATGAAGTAGAAATTTCCCTTTTAGCAAACAAGAAACAAGTCAAAAAGGTGATTGGAAATCTTTTTAAAGAAACTATAAGGGCCTCACATTTGGTTAAAAATGACAAGATAGAATAAAGGCATTCATTGTGCATAGGATTGATGCCATAATCAAAATCAAGTGGGCTTTCACATGACAATAAAGAGAAGTGAAATGGTAAGTTAGTAATTTCAGAAGAAGAAAAAAATGCCATTGGATATTTGGGTCCTTCAAGTGTCTAGTTCAAAATAGGAAGATGAATGGGTGGTGAAGACGTTTGTGGATAAGCATAAATATCTGCAAAGTAAATCAATTAAAAGTTCTACCAAAGTGTTTCTAGGAAAAACAAATTCATCCAGAAAGTTGAGAAGAAGTCTAGAAACGATTGTTTCAATTAAAATAAAGAAATAGAAGAAAAAAATAATCCCAATCTTTTTTGTAAATCTTAATGCATCACTTTGGTATTAATCACATATTTGGTTTGGTATTTATTCTAGTAGTTACACTATGCTTTTTCGTGACTTATTATGTTGCTGCATATCTGTTGATTTGGTATTGTTGTTGAAGTTATATTACAAATTTACAATCATCACATATTCTAATATTTCTTGACTAAATCATGGTTTTACTTTGCTTTTTTGGAATGACATTGAAAATTTAAAATATCATACTTGCTTAACATTTTGACATTATCTAATAAATGGAATAAGTATCTTCAATATTTATGAGTATTAAATGGTTATACTCTATTTTAGAGTATTGGTTTATGGATTTCTAAATGGCTACTCCGTCTAACACTATCACAATTTTATATTGCCAAAATTCTTTCACAACAAGTGGACAATATTTACCATTTTAGTTGGCAAATAAAACATTTATAACTTGACCCATTTGACCACTATAATACAAAAATATAATGTACTTTTTACTATACTTAATTGATGACCAAATAACAAGGTTTTGTAAAAACATTTAAACGATAATTCATATTTTTGAAACCGTTACCTGATTGGTGCCCGCTATTTTTTTAAAAGTATTTTTAATATTTTATATATCAAACTCATTTAAATTATTAAAGTACCAAGGGGCGCTGCCCCTTGAGGAAAACATATTTCAAATCAAACAATTTGCTCCAAGTATTCGCTCATTTGGTTTGTGTAAAATTAGTAATTTTTAGTCTTAATCATCATTTTCAAGTTGCATAAAGACCATAAGCGTTCAAATTATTAAGCATTTATATTCGCATTTCCCATAAATGAATTGATTTATGCAATAATAGAGGAAAACTAGAAAATATACTAAAATTTTCAATGCACAATGACTTTTGAATTGCATAAAGAACTTTGATTGAGCAAATAAAAGCATTGTATTAGCATCTTGAGTATTTAATTATTTATTACAATATATTTAGAAATTTGTGTCGTGCACGCTCTGCATACAAACCTCTAAAGTATGAGGCTATCATATTCATCCATCATATTGATACCATTGATATCTAAAGAAAAATAATATTTTTCATAGAAAACAAAACACCGAAAGTTATGTACACGGTATTTTACTAATTTAGGCATATATGTGTGTGCGTGTGTCTATATATATATATATATATATATATATATATATATATATATATATATAGAGAGAGAGAGAGAGAGAGAGAGTGAGAGAGAGAGAGATGTATAGCAATATTAAATTCAGCTAGTTACGAGTATAACCTCTTTGCTTGCTTACATAGATGTGTAAGTATGTCGTGAAAGGCATAGTTTATATTTTACTGATACAAGTATAAGGCGTTAAGGCCTCTAATATTTTTAAAGAGTTTTATACAATGATGTTTCATAGTAACTCAACGTTTTCATAATTACTGCACCAATTTAGTATGAAATCGTAAAATGTGGATACAACTTCTTTATGTTTTGAAACAATGGTGATATGTATGCAACAAATCAAATCTATAAATTCGTCTTGCTTCCACGATACATCCTATAACACCCCATGTTTTTAAAAACCACGATCATTCCCCGTTGTTTCAATATAAAAAACTGTGGGCATTAAGAAAAAATTGTTGGTTTTATAAAAACCGGGTTCTAACTCAATTCTCAACTCACACGTTACCTTTGCATCCTTGCCTTCTATAAAAACCTCATCTTCCATATCATTATCATACAAATCAAACTAGACTCCTATGGCAACAAACAATGTTGAAGACACATTTCCAACTTTGGCAACAAACAATGTTGAAGCCCTAGCTGAAATCACCCAATCCCTAATGGACGAGGTTTGTTTTATACTTTTATCTACAATGCACAAACTATATTTCCTTTTTCTAGTTTCATGAAATTTGAGAAACAAATAAACATAATTATAATGTACTTATTCAACTTTTTCTTCGTTTTTTTTCCTTAGATGAAGTTATAAATTCATAATGTTAACCTTTTCACTTTGTAGGAGATCGTTGAGCTTATTGTATTTAATTTTATGGTACAAATTGAAGACCATTGGGGAATAGTAAACCTTGATGCAATGCTAGAACAGTACTGTAACGATGCTAATAAAATAATAAGTTTTGCAAAAACACAGCTGTAAGTACCACAACTAGCTACTTGATTTGATAAATTCATTTGATTTATATTTTATAATATTCTTCTAATAAGAAGACTTCATGTTATTACTTATTTGTAAACTTACAGAGAGACCCAAGACCCTCCATACAAACTCATTGATGACATGCTTGATAAGTTGGAAGAAGATAGCCTAAAGTAACGGTTTTTTTTTTATACTTTTAGCTTAAATCATTATCTTTATATCTACATTTTGTAGCATTGGATCTCATTTTTCACTAATCATAAATGCAAATTCTAAGCAGAGTTGCAGCAAAGAAGGTACACATGTCTGTTAGACCTGTAAGACTATGTTTGACCGGTGATCTTGAAGACCTTGATGTGTATGTTCTTTCTATATTTCATTATTTCTTTTATATTTTTATTCGAGTACTTTATAGATTATAATCAACCATCTTAACTTGTATTTTGTGATTTAATTTTAAGTGCCAAGTCTGCATTAGGTACCCTGGAACGAGACAACCAAATGTTCGAATCCCAGATTCGAAAATTCATTGAGGTTTAATTCTTGTTATATGTTGAAGATTAATCTATATTTCTTTTAATATTAGAGAAATGATATTTGATTAAAAAAATTGTGGGGTTTGTAGCTGAAGAAGCAGGTGTATCTGTTTGATAGGGCTGCAGCAGCAAAGTCACAACCAGAGAGTAGTAAGCAAGGCGAAGATAAAGGCAAAAAGGAGTAATTAATAGTTAGTAGAAGATGAAACTCTGAAAGGAAGATAAATGAAAAGTTATATTATGTTCCATATCTACTTTTGTTGTTTGTGAATAATGAGTAATAAATAAAGCTTGTTTCTTTTTATCTGTCCAACATTAGCATAATAAGAATACCTTAATCGCTGTTAGTATCTATCTAATCGGACATGGGTTTACCAACAACTATTAGAGTAATCCACTACGTATGAACATTTTGATTAATTCATAACAGGAAATGCCAGAAACAAATTCACTTCGGATTCAAACAACTCTCGTGAGAAGGGGATAAAAACGAGGATTAATTATATGCTAAATCCATAGGAGTAAAAGAAAATTTACCTGATTTAAGAAGATGGGACATGCAATTCCAGATTGGACAATTGCAAAAAAAGCTTGCATCTCTCAGCTCTAAAGCCCCAACAAGTAGATCGGAATAAGCAGGTTCTTATCCAACCAGCTAAAGCTCCATCACAGGCCTTCATATCGAACTAAAGATCCACCGTTCATCACCATTTGCTCCACCGCTCTGAGCCCTAATTCGACTCCTTCCGTTAGATTGTGTGTGAAATTAAGATGAAATGATTGCCAGGGGTGTTTGGTTGTACTTTTCACTTTGTATCAAAGCGATAAGTAAATAAGTTTAAATATATATATATATATATATTTAAGTCAATTGTTGTTAAAAAACTAAAAGGAGTTAGAAAAAACAGAGTTCTATATGTTTTAAATAAAAATTAAGCTAATAGAAAAGTTATTTTAAAAAGTATTTTTAAGTTTACTGAACATTTTTTTATTTATTGGATTTTCAAAAATAATGTCAATAAGTTATTTTGAAAAACAAAATATACATGCAAGCACAATTATTTTTGATAATAGTGGATATCCCGATGAAAATGTAATGGTCTGAGTGGATACTTTGTTTAAATTGTTCTTCAAGGAAGTGAAAATGTTTCTCTTTTTCTATAAAAGGTATTTGATGACTGAAAATCCATTATATTATTTATTTTTCATTTAAGTGTTGTATTTTCTAAATTTTCTTAAGAAACTGATTGATGATATCATATAGCTCATTAGCATGTCATCATTAAATTGACAAATGTTTTTTTCTAAATTGCCAAAATAGTAAAAAATCAACTAATTTTCTAAAATTAGCCATACTTTTTGTAGGGGACCCACTGTGTAATATAGTGGACCCTTTGAATTGCTATTATGATATCCTTTTGCTCATTTTAGACTACATGATACTAAGGTGAAATGAGCGTATTACAAATTGTATTTGTTGTGTTAGACTTCTTTTGATACTGAAGGTGAAATGAGCCTATTGCAAATTGTATTTGTTGTGTTAGACTTCTTTTTTGTAGCAGGCCATTGTAAGATGTTAGGCCCACAGCGAAATTGTTTTTTGGGCCTCTAAATAGGTACATTACTTTTAGTTTGAAATTGTAAAATATCAAAGGTCCGTTTAGTTGCGGAAAAATTGTCCGTTTTCTGGACAAAAATTTCAAGAAAAATGAGAATTTTGAAAACGCGTTTACTTCGTCTATTTTTCTAAATTTTTCACAGAAAATAAAAATTTTCCATTTTCTAAAATTACAAAGAAGTTGAAAATTTTTGGAAAACCAATAATCATGGTTTTCCACATTTTTCTGATTTCAAAATTGTTCTAAAATATAAACATACACCCACTCCCACCCCACCCACCTCGACTTACCCCCACCTCGTATGAAAGGTGTGCAATATCTACTTCTTTGTTCTATAACAACTCGTATGAAAGGTGTTGCAGGCCAATGGCAAGAAGAAGTGTTGTATTCCATTATAAAAATGATAGAATATGCAATACATGTCAAGAAAATGATGGATATAACATCCCTAAGATACATAAAATGATATCGACTTCTTTGTTCCATAGCAACTCATATCAAAGTGTATGACTAATCTTTCACACAAATTTTTATTGTTCAAAAAGTAAACCATTTTCTATTTTTATGGATGTTATACACATCAATGTCAGGCGACATACTTCCAGCAACTTATATTAGAAGCTCACTATTGCATTTTCAATTTCATGTGATATATGTGGTTCAATTTATCAAGTTCTGTACGAATTGCTGTGAAACAAATCTGCCATATCAATTGAAGCTTGAAAATTTGTGATTTTGTCTAAAGTCTACTAGAATGTATTCACCATGCAAGCAAGGTGTTCGATAAAATGTGTCAAATGTTTCACATTCATGTAATTCCATGTTAATTTCCAAACCACTGCTACTTAAAAAACTGTAAATGACAACGTTACCCTTAAAAAAACTGTATATAAAAGACACAAAGAGATCTAAAATCAAAATTTTGTGTATGATTATAGAACAAGGAACAGAACACGAACATAGGATCTAAATCAGAAATCTGGGTGCCATTAAAGATAACCACTTGATGTCAAATGAGGACAGAAATCAAGTAAATTAACAACAAAAAAAACCATGGCAATTCATGATCTTACATGAAGAGATTGAGTGGAAGACCCAATGACTTTATACTATATGCAATATTGTATACCAAAGCTATGGAAATGACTTTGGCAATTGTGTTTTTGCTTTAGGATTGCTTTTTCAACTGAAACTCAATATGGTATGAAATTATTTGATCGAAACAAGTTTTTATTTCTACAACATACTCCATAACATTGAAAAATTATTCAAATGACTGAAAATAAGGTCTCACAGATTCATTTGAATTCAAAAGAAGGAGGCGCCGGCGAATCAAAACTCTCCAGAACTTCAGTTTTGACCTTCTGCTTTGGCTCCTCTTGCTTGCCACCAAATAACCCACCAAACCACGATGTCGATGATGGTGATGATTCAGCAGGTGGTGGATGGCTCTGATTAGGAAACTGGAGCCCTAGAGGCATACTCTGAGGTGGTTGCGATGGTGGCTCTTCGATCATCACCGGTGGAGGCTGTTGTGCACTAAGGAACTTATTAAGCATGATTCCAGCTCCTTCAATTAGGGCTAACAAAACACCCCCAAAAACTGCAGATCGAGTGGCGGGGCCTAAACCCTGGCGCATCTGGAGGAAACCTCCGGTGGCGGCGCCGGAGATAATCGAGTTCCATGGATCTTCCTTCTGGCGTACGTAGACCATGGTACAATCGAAGCAGGAGAACAAACCACCCCATACGGCGAAGCTGCCACCGACACGTGGTGCGTTCATACGAATGGCTTGTGTCCCGCCGATGAAACGTTCGCCTGTTGGTGAGTTGTAGACTCCTTTTAGAAAGTGGAAAGCGGAGCCGCCGACGGCGCCCATGCCGAAAGCGCCACCTATGTCGTCCAAGATCCTGTCCGGGCATGGTTCTCTGGAGGTTTCCGGTGTACTCATCTTTGCGTTGATGTAAAAATACTGAAAAACAGATTTCGAGGGTTTATAGGGTTTTCCGATCGGAGCAGAAACAGGGCGTGCCTTAATTTATCAAAGTTGATTCATGTAGCCTTTTGTACTTGTTACCAAATTTTATGTTATGAATTTAAGAGTGAATTACAGTTTTTGGTCCTTACAGTTGCCACGAAATTACAGTTTTAATCCTAGTTTTCCAATTTTGAGACGATTGGTTTCTTTGCCCGTTATGATTTCAGATTCAATATTTGGCTCCGTAACCGTCAAAAGTCTTCGGTTAAATCTTCTTCTTTCTATTCTAATAAAAAAATAGTTCTAATCTTTTTTTGTCAAGTGTTACTCTAATACAATTCTTCATTAATATCATGTCACGTATCAGGAAGATATATTAGAATTCTTCTAATACAGTTCTTTTTTTGCCCGTTATGTTTTGCTTTTTTTGTTTTGGTTTTAATTTTCATCTTTTATATTTAGAATTATTAGTTATTATTATAAAATAGTCCCCATTCTTAATACCACCACCATGTTGGTCTGACGACCGGGAATGAGCAAACACCGGTAAAAGAACATGTCAGGGATGGAACGACTACAAAGGATGTTCGCCGTAGTTGGTGGAACTGTTTTATAAATTTTCATATTTTTTTTCAAAAAACTATGCTTCTAACGACTTGATTGTAAAACATTTTTCAATAAAATTACCTGACAAGATTTTACAGCTTAGTTTTTTATAATTTTATTTTATATATATATATATATATATATATATATATATATATATATATATATATATATATATATATATATGTGTGTGTGTGTGCGCGCGTGTGTGCGTGTGTGTAAACGAAAAAATAAAATAAAAACATGCACAAAAATAGATATGTAAAATGACATAGATGAACAAATGTAAAAAAAGTTACATAAACTGTTAAAAATAATACATACAAAAAGATGTGTACACAAAATAATTCGTTGGCTAAATTTGTCAAATGTATATAAAAAGTGACTAAATATGTACAATTACAAAACTTTATACCCTCACAAAGTTTACTGATCGTAGGAAACCAATGAAACCTATAATTACATGTCATAATGATACTATCTGAAAAATTTTATGTAAGTTTATTGATAAGCATCTATAAAAAAATGACCAAACATGAAGAAAACTGACACTTAGTTACCATCACAATTCATTTTCTCAAAATTTTATTATAAAATTAGCGGTAGGACTCAAATTGATTAATAAACCCTTCATGTTTCCAAGTAGATCCGATAACATCATCATAAACTTTCCAAATAACTTTTCATTGGAAGTATTTTTCAAAACGGCTCGTTTAAAATGGTTTCTTAGTAGATTCAACACCTTTGAGTAAAAGTATATGTGTTGCTTAAGGATGTCAAAAAGTGGTGGATAAACTTTCTATATGGAAAGTTAAAACCCTTTCGGTAGGTGGTAGACTGACTTTAATCAAGTCGGTTTAGGGATCTCTTTCGACTTTCTTTATGTCTTTATATAAGGTTCCTATTTGTATCTTGAACTCTTTGGAGACCTTGTGTAATAAGTTCTTTATTGGAGCCGATATAGATGAGAAAAAAAATGAGTTGGATTGTTTGGAAAAAAGTTCTCACTCATAAAAAAACATGGAGGTTTAGGGGTTAAAAGTCTCTTCGCTTTAAATAGAGCCCTTCTTTTTAAGTGGATTTGGCGTTTTTTATAATCTTCAAATTCTTTTTGGGTGAAAGTGGTTTAATATATTCATGGAGAAAAAGCGCTTATTGGTTGTCGTTTACATACAGGGAGGGCTTTAGTTAGGATTGATATTTTGAAAGCTTCTAATAATTCGAAAGAAAAAAGCTTGGATGTTATGTCTTTTGTTCCAAGAGGATTGGAAACGGAGCTTCCATCTCTTTCTGGGAAGATAATTGGGTTGGTGGTATTTCTCTTAAAAGTCAATTTCCAATACTTTTTAGTCTTGAGTTGGATAAACACGTTACAGTTCAAGCTAAATTGGAACATGGTTCCTTCTCTTTTTCTTTTCGCAAATTGCTTAGAAGGGGAGCCGAATCTCTTCAATTAGATGCCTTTTTCGGTTGATAGACACCGTTTCTTTGTCTCATTCTGTGTCAGTGGTTTTTGTCGCTTTATGGGGCGGGGGATTTCACGGTGGTCTCGGTTACATCTTTCATTGATAAAAAGACTATTCCTTCTACTTCTCTTGAGACAAAGTGGAATAAATTGGTGCCCATAAAAGTTAATGTTTTCGCTTGGCATTTGGCTCTTGACAAGCTCATGACACGTCACAGTCTTCTTTACAGGGGTTTGGATGTCCCGTCTTTGATTTTCGCTATATGTGATTCTTTCTCTGAAAACAGGAATCATTTGTTCTTTGTTTGTCGTTTGGCTACGGATCTCTATTTGCATGTCCTTAGATGGTGGGGCTATGATGATTTTGCATTTGCTTGATATGAAGACTGCCAACTTTGGTTTTCTTTAATTCGTTTCTTAGGATTGATTAAGTACTAGTTTAGAGCGTCTTTTATTCGCTTTTGTGACACATTTGGAATTACATGAATGCTCGTGTCTTTGCTTCCTCTATTCTGCGGAAGACAGTTTTATTTGACAATTGTGTCACTCAAACCTTCTTTTGGTGTAAAAGTAATTTGGGTTGGTTGGCTTCAAAACCCCCCAACTTCCTATTTCTTCTTCATGACTCGCTTGTTTTGCTAACTCCATGCTAGTTTGTTTTGTTTTTTTAAAAATAAAATTCAGTAGTTCCAAAAAAAAATCATTTATAAAGTAATCTTCTTTTCTTTTGTTAGACATGCTAAACCAACTGTGTTGACGATGTAAGCAAGCTTAATTTGGGGTTTTCGAAATACTAAATTGTATGAAGCCATATAATCCGTCGACAATAATTTAGGAAGGTGAGTAGACATGTAAGTGCTAAAAATGATCATATAGTCGAAAAAAATAAAAAGGACCAAATGTGAACACAAACAACAAGTTCGATGGTATATTGGGTACAAAAAAGGAAAGGGACCAAATGTGAACAATCTCAACAGTTGGTTACCCTCCTGAGTTATTTTCCTTTTACCCATTTACACAAAATCTCATGTCATCTCCTGCTCATATTAATGACTTTATGAGGTTCATTCTTGCTTCTCTTTAAAACATAATCCACAAAGAACATTATTCATACATGTACAACTTTGTAATGCACTTGCATATTTATTAGAGGAATCTTGATTGAGCAGGTGCATTTCATGACTATATTTACATTTCCAATCAAATGATTTATTGTATCATGGAATCTAGACAAGTCTACAAACGAGTGAAATCACAAGTGCTGTGGTTTTTTATTTTACTTGGATTTAATATCGAATTCATGGGATAAGATACAACATCAATATGTACATGATCATGCAGCTTTTGTAGACACAACGCTATAATATACCGTGAGCTAAACGTTTATGCTAATAAAGATACATTCCATACATAGTAATATCCTTTTGCAGAGAGTTGTTGACAGCTAACCACAATAGGCATAGCATAGACCATGTTTTGACCAAGATACCCCTTCGAAACGCTCTTCATATATGTTATGGTCTAAGAAGGTTGCCGTCTTTGATACTTTTGTAGCTTTAATTTCATTTAACCTTTGTGGGGAAAATGACTCAGATGGGCAACCAACTGTTGAGTTTGTTCACGTTTGGTCCCTTTTCCTTTTTTTTGTATCCAATATACCATCGAACTTGTTGTTTGTGTTCTCCATAACCCTTTTGACCGGCTATCACATATGATAGTCGGTCAAAAGGGTTTTGACGAACACAAATAACAAGTTCGATGATACATTGGGTATAAAAAAAAGTGACCAAATATGAACAAACTCAAGAATTGATTACCCTCGAGAGTCATTATCCGTTCTTTAAATTTTGCATAGAAGATGTTAAGCATGTTGGTACTACTACTTTGTCACCATTGTGGGTTTAAATAATATATTTTTGTCTTACTATAAATAGGTGGCTTTGTGTATGCAAATAGTAACACAACTTTTTATGTAGAAAATTTATGTCTTTTTCATTTTTCAATAAGAAAATGATATGAATATACATAAATACATAATGCAACTTTCAGGGACCAATTGAATTAATTTTAGGGAGCCTGGAGCGCCTGAGTGCACTTTCCTCAAACTATTAGGTACTACAACCGATTTTATCCCAACCTATATGCTATTCCCCTGCTTTCTTTCTCAAAAACCCTAACATGGCTTATCTCTGTACTTTGTGAGCATTTCGAAGACCCAATAACGGCAAATTAAGCCCCCAATCATCACAAATGGAGCTGGTAAGTTAGTCGAGATCAATCGAATTTCTTCACGCAGGTTAATTTCTTTCTCCGTTAAACGTTACAGAAAGCTTTTAAATTCTTCGAGTTTCGAATCATTAACTACACCGTAGTTGTTTTGTTGTTGGCATAATGTATTGTAATTTTACCAAGTGCCATGCTTTCCCTTTCGCCATTAGAGCTTCTTCGCAACAACCAAAATGTTTTCTCCCATTCTATATAAAACCCAAAACTCCCCAGTTTTCTCCTAGTTCAAATCCTGAAACAAATGTTTTCTACAAGTCCAGAATTACGAGCTATAGAACTCCCTCTGTTGGGTTTATGGAGAAAACACATGAGTATTGTCAGTTATTAGGGACTGCAGATAGAGATAGTTTTGTTAGTTTCAATCAACACGTTAGGAAGAAGAGAGAGCATGTATATGCTGCAAAAAGTGAATCCTTTTCAAATGGGCTTCGTTCAAACCCTAGAAAATTTTCCACATCCTATTCTCGTAAAGTGGTTGAAGGTACTACCGATTCTCCAAATCCCCTTCCTTGGTTAGCTAAAAATAAAGATAAGGAAGTTAAAGACTCTGAAAAACCTGCTCCAAGGAGGTCATCTTGGGAAATCTCAGCTGAAAAGTTCTCCAAAAATGGCCCACATACTAGGGAAAAAATTAGGAGAAAAGATTTCAAACCAAGAAACAAGACATCAGAAGATGAATCACCTACAAGAAAGTTCGTTCGAGTGCGATCTTCTTGGGAGGAATCAGCTGAAAAATTTGTGAAAAGGGGAGATGAAAGTAGGGAAAATGGTAGACGATTTAATGAAAGTAGGGAAAATGGTAGACGATTTGATGAAAGAAACGATTATAGGGAAAGAAGAAGGATTTCTGAAGACGGTTCTGACCTTGAAACACAAGAAGCTGACAATAATAATCCCAATTGGTATAAGATACAAGAGAGATTTGATTCATTCGATAGGGTTAACGTTAATGTGGAACGAAATGACAAGTGGAGTAGGCAAGACAATTGGGGAAAAAAGGTATGGAAAGAAGCAACCGAATCAAGCATACCAAAAATGGTTGGTGAATGTGTCTATGGAGTGGGCCCCATACTAGCTGCACTATTAGCAAACAGAAGAGAATTCTACGTTTTATACATTCAAGAAGGCATCGATTTAACCGGAAACAACAAAAAGAAAAAAGACAAAAAAGGGTTCGAAAAAGTTTTAAAAGTAGCCGATAAACTAGGGTTAACAATAAAAGAAATCTCAAAACATGATCTCAACATGATTGTGGACAATCGTCCACATCAAGGTCTAGTTCTCGACGCTTCACCATTAGAAATGGTGAACATTCGAGAACTAGACCGCACAGCAGGGGACATGTCCATGTCCCCGCTGTGGTTAGCGCTGGATGAAGTTATGGACCCACAAAATTTGGGTGCCATAATTCGTTCAGCGTATTTTTTTGGTGCATCGGGGGTTGTACTTTGTGCAAAGAATTCTGCACCACTTAGTGGGGTTGTAAGTAAAGCGAGTGCTGGATCGCTTGAGTTGATTGAGCTTAGGTGTTGTAAGAATATGATGCAGTTTTTGGTTTCTTCGGCTGAAAATGGTTGGAGGGTTGTTGGTGGTTCAGTGAATTCACGAGCTGTGGGTTTGACCGAGGTGCGAACCGGTGAGCCTACGGTTCTGGTTTTGGGGAGTGAGGGCACGGGTTTGAGACCGTTGGTTGAAAGGTCGTGTACTCAGTTGGTTAAGATTCCGGGGAATATTCCGGTTCATTTGAGTGGTGGGTTTGAAGATGGTGAATCTTTTGTTGCTGTTGAGAGTTTGAATGTTAGTGTTGCTGCTGGGGTGCTTCTTCATCATTTTGTTGGAAATAGTAACAACAAGACTGTGGTTGACATTGAGGGGTAATTCTGTAATTCTGTGATTCTGTAATAGTAATTCTTTTTGGTTTCATGATTCTGTTTATGTTTATTGTATGCCGTTATTTAAGGTTCTTTAGTTAGTGCAATTGATATTGAAGCATTTGATTTCATGTTGATTGATTGATGTATACTACTTCAGTTGATAATGCTTCAAACAAGTATTCATTTATTGGGATTTGAAGTGAGATAGATGATCAAACTCATGTTCATTAGGATCTTGAAACTTTTCATCCAACAAAACTTTTGTTCTATAAATTCGTTTTGGAAGTTACACTTACACCCCCCAAGTGGTAGAATAAAAAAGGTCCAAAATAGCACAGATTAAGTTCACGTATGTTAGAAGAGATGAGCAAGGGGTATAACAGTCCTTTGGCAAGGGGTTAAGGTAGGTAGTTAGTAGCAAATAAAAGAGAGGAGAAGGGTTTCAGTTTGGATATTCTGTTATGTTTTGACTTTTGAAGTCAAAAGACGTGGGAGAGCTTTCCTCCTCTCGAAAGGGGGAACCCCTAATCATTCAATACAACTCTTAGATCTGAACCCTAATTTCAATTCTTTCTACTCATTTTCATTCTTTTTGCAACAAACCCGTGTCAAATTCCATCTTGTATTTGTCGATGAATATCCTATTTGCTAAATCGTTATTTGAAACAGTTTTGATAAAATCGGCCAGATGGCCGATTAATTGGCGCCTAGGCGTTTGGCGGCCATTCACCAATCACAATTTAAGGTAATCGGTCAAGGTCAAAATCGGTTAAAAGTCAAAAGGTCTAAGATATCAAAAAGTCAAGAGTAAAAGTAAAAAATAATGAGAAACTAATATACTAATATTAATTTGAACTTGACTTTATTTGTTCCCATCTCTCCTGCCATCCATCTCTCTACCTAGGTCTTCCCCTCGTTAAATTTCTCTCTTCCATCTCTTTTATGTCTTTCTATCTCACCATCATTGTATTGATGTTAAATACTATAATATGATTAGTTACTTATGCCATCCATCTCTCTTGACTCTCTACCTAGGTCTCCCCCGGGTAAATTTCCCTCTCCCATCTCTTTTATGTCTTTCTATCTCTCCATTGTATTGATGTTAAATGCTATAATATGGTTTTTTATGGTTAGTTACTTATTTTGTTAGGATATTAGCAATATTATTTTTAAAAAATAAATTTTCTTTATAACTTAAGGTCCTCGATTAATCATGTCTAAACCAATTAGCCCTAGACTAAAGTAGGTCGACCTGACCGAAAGTAATTGATCCATGGAGGCATTATTATGTTCATAAAGTAATTGATCCATGGAGGAATTGTTCATATATGCTTATGATTTAAGGATACAACACATATTCTTTTTTATAATCCGTACTGCCCCACCTAATCTATATTGATTGTTTTGTCATCATCAATGGTTTCTTATATGAACATAACAATTGGTTTTTCTTTTAACATACTTTTAGGTAGATTGTACTAAGTTGTTCAACATATAACTTAAATATCTTATACTACTTGTAACATAAATTTGTATGAAAAATAGATTATATAGACAATTATAAGTCCAAAATGATGCTAACGTCATTGCTTTATGGCAAATAATTGGTTATAGAGATCTTTAATCCTTAGCGATATGAAGCTTAATGCTGTTTATTCTTATTCATAATTTAAACCAAGAAAATTTCAATTTTTTAGTGAAAAAGGCAAAATAGTTGAAATAAAAAGAATTATGACTTTTTCATAAACTATGCCAAATAATAAAACTTTTCTGAAGGTAACCTGATAAAAAATAGTTTACCAGTAAAAAAAGGTTGATTTGAATTTTTTATCCGATAATCAAGATTTTTTTTGTTAACAAATAAAATTTGGGACTTTTACATAAACTGACCTAACATATTGAGATTTTTCTAAAGATTTTCCAGAAACATGTAAACACAAAGTAAAAATTAAGTTGTAAAAGCAAATTATATATATATATATATATATATATATATATATATATATATATATATATATATATATATATATATATATATATATATATCGCCGCTTAGTGTGGTAAAAATGGTAAAAATAGTTAAGGTGGTGAAAATGGTGTCATGACCACCTAAGCTCCACGTATGATCCATCTTTGATTTACCATGACAAAAGAAAAAAAAAGGAGGAAGTGGTGCTATTAACATGCCATGACAAGGCATTGTCGAAAAAAAGCTGTTGAGCTAAACATGCAGTGGCGGTAGGGGTGACAACTTTCGACCCAACCCGTAACCCGACACTGATCCAACCCGAAAATAGACGTGTTTGGATTGATATTTTTGACCCGCCAACCCATCAACCCGTTTATTTCATGGGTTGGGTTGGGTTATCTGTTTGGGTTCGCGGGTCAACCCGCCAACCCGTATATATATATATATATATATATATATATATATATATATATATATATATTACATTTAAAAACATGATATATTTAATTATTAATGAAATTTGATTTCCATCCGTATTCGTAATATTCTGTATCATTGTATTCCTTTCGTATTCGTATGTGACTAATCTGCATTTGCGGTTCGTTAATCAGAAAAAGAAAAAATATATGTCATTATTTTCACGAGTCACGAACGAAGAACACATCCACTTTCTATGAATGTTTTCATTTATTCATTTTTATTTGGATGTTATTGACTTTATGAATTTATGTTGAAAACCCTATTTTTATGTTAATTACTTTAATCATTTTATGAATTTATGTTGAAAAAACCTCATTTTTTAAAATATGATGTTTATTTAATAAAATGGGTTATATGGGTTGGGTTTGACCCATTAACTTGTGAACTCGCGAACCCATATGCTTATACGGGTTATATGAGTTGGGTTGGGTTGAGGTTTCCAACCCACCAACCCGTGACCCGCAAACCCGTCAACCCATATATTATATGGGTTGGGTTGAGTTTATGTTTTCTGACCCGCCAACTCGTGACCCGCCAACCCGAACCCAACCCAATTGCCAGGCCTAAGTGGCGAATGTAGAAATTTATAGCAGTGGTGACAAAAAGAAAAATCCACACAACACAACAAATACTAATAGTTGCTTATATTTTTTTTAGTGGTTGCACATTAATACAAAACATGGAATTTCTTTTTAACATATTTTACACTTCGAAGCTAAAATCGAGTATTGGCCTGGGACCTGGGCTTGGGGAACCCCTAGGTCCGCCACTGTCAAATGTACTTGTAGTTGTGAACTTGTGATTCGGTGCTTGTTGTGCTAATTAAGACAATGTCTAGGGGTTGTGGAGACCACTCCTATAGACACAACATATATGTTTTTTAATGAATTTGAAGTTTGAACAATAATTTCATTTTTTATTTATGAATACAAAAATGGTATCTTGTTAAAGAGGAAGTGATATTTCCACTTAATAAATTGATTTATGCACTTCAAAATGTATGTACAATAACTGCAATGAGTTGTAACTCATGTGGATGAATCAATTTAGTAAGGGGAAATATTCAGAGACAAATGAAAAATTACTACCTAAACCGATAAAAAGCTTAATTTAACTAATTTAACCGAAGACATGAAAATTTCCCGGAAAAATATTGATTATTATTTATGGTAAATGTAAAAAATTACGCCGTCTCTGTGTCTACCCTTTTTTCATCCCTCACCTCCCATCTCCGCCGTGAGTCACCGTCTTCCTCTTCCTCGACGGCGATCTTAAAGAGAAAGGCAATACATATTGCCATGCGGTTAATTTCATGTAGGGCTTCATTTATTCGTTTAAAAGACCTGCATTACGCCGCTTTGATTTAATCACAGAGAGGCCTCGTTGTTTATACATGCACATTGGAATAGTTTTACGGATTTCCAATGGATATTACGCCGTACGTCGAATCATTCGACACATTTCTGTTTTTTGCCAGCAGAACATTTTGTAGTCCGTTGGCCATTTTTGTTCAGATCCAGGTTCGTGATTTCCAATTTGTCAATTCATCTCTTTCACGGGAATGATAATGTGTTATTCTTCTTATAAACCTTTTGATTCTATATTGTTAGCCATGAATCTGATGTCATCGTGTTGAGTTACCCCCATGTTTGATTTAGAATCGTTTACTCTTATTCTTCAAACACAAATTATTACGTACAATCACAAAATCTGGAATTCAAATGAGTTTGAGGCAAAACAGAGACGATTTGCTACATTAACATGGGGAAAATTTCTGAATATTGTTATTGATGCTACAGGGATGTGTAATATGCTTACTCCTGGCTGTTGGATGGTCTCTAGCAGCTTATATCAGGTATGGAATTTAGTCACTTTGTTACAGAAATACAGAACATCATTCTGATAATAAATAAACCATTTTTATGCAGAATAAGAGAAATATGGGAGATGGAAATATCCATGCAAGGTGGCAATTCCTTTGCATTTCTTTCTCATGATATCCATGATCTTGAACATTCTAAGCAAGAAGACTTGCCAGGAGTTACAGTAGTTATGCCCTTGAAAGGATTTGGAGAACACAATATACACAACTGGAAAACCCAGGTATATATTTATATATATCCCACAAAACTCATAGATTTGAAGAATACATACAAGTTCTCACATATATGATATAATATATCTCCAAATGCAGATAACATCTCTTTATGGTGGGCCCTTAGAGTTCCTATTCATTGTTGATAGTACTGAAGACCCTGCATATCATGCTTTATCTAACTTACTTATAGATCACGAGGTAGGTTTATTGCATCACTAAGATTTTGTTGTAGTTTCTATTTACCCCTTTGACAGATTAGCTTAATGGGTTAAGTCTTGTCTCCATTAAGTTTATGAAAACAAAAAGAAACAACTAATTAAGTTTCATCAGTCTCTATATATATGTTGTGTTTCTTACTTGTTTTACATGCATGCATGCAGGATGAGATTGATGCAAGCATAATAATAGCTGGCCCATCTACAACATGTAGTCAGAAAATTCATAATCAGTTGGTATGCTGCAAATCAACTTGTGATGTTTCTTGAGGACAGAGGTTATTAATTATTGTACATGTGTGGGCTATTCATTATGGATTTTATGGTGTAATAATATTGTTTTAAACATTTCAATACAGATAAATTATTATTTTTGACTTGTGAAATGGGGTTAGGTTGGAATGAAGAAAATGAGTGAAGGAAGCAAATACGTATTATTTCTAGATGATGATGTTAGGCTGCATCCTGGATCAATTGGATCCTTGATTGCTGAAATGGAAAAGAATCCTGAGGTATGCATAGAATTGATGGTGATTTTATTTACTTAGTATTATTTTTTTTTAAAAAATTTCTCTATTTTTGAACTTTTGGTGGTTAATGTATGCAGATATTTATTCAAACAGGCTACCCCCTTGATTTACCTTCTAGGAGTTTAGGCAGCTACTGTATTTATGCATATCATATGGTAATCTACTTTATATTATTGCAAATTTTTCTCTTTTGTGTTTATAGTTAGTTTTTGGAAAATTGTGCCAAATAGCAAACATAGTTAATAACTCTAAGCATAAAGCTAACATACTTTATTTTTTATGGACACAGTAGCAACCAACTTGTATTTTTCTACTGATTTAAGCAATATGTAACCTAAAACCTATAAAAATGACGATGATGTGGACAACACACCCACCCCTTTGCCACGTCAGCATTTTTATAAGTTTTAGGTTACATATTGTCTAAACACTTGAATGTACGTCAATGGCATTTAAATTAGTTTTGACGTGTTTCGTTTTTAGTTAAATTTTCATTTTATATTATTTTTTTTAAAAATTTATTTTTATATTTTGACATAATATTATCTTGTTTGCAGCCATGCTCAATGGGATTTGCAACTGGTGGAAAAACATTCTTCCTCTGGGGAGGTTGCATGATGGTATCCATGTTTTGACTTTTGAGTTTGACCACCATATATAAACTTTTTAATAATTATCTTTATAATTAAATTAATAAGACACTTCTTTTTTCCTTTTTCTTTCTATAGATGCATGCAGATGATTTCAGAACTGACAAACATGGCATTGTATCACAACTTGAAGATGGTGGATATTCAGATGATATGACTCTTGCAGCTATAGCCGGTAATATATATATATATATATATATATATATATATATATATATATATATATACACACAGAGAGAGAGTTATAAAAATTATATTGATGTTCTTTTTTGTAGGAGCTCATAAGAGGCTTATAACATCACCTCCTTTTTCTGTTTTTCCACATCCTCTTGCTAGTGATATTACTCTCTCAAGGTCTCAATGTTCCCACTCTCCTCTTTCTTTTTTGGATAAATGATATTTTTATTTATTTATTTATTTATACTAATTTCATATTTTTATGTTTTTAATAGGTATTGGAATTATTTACGAAAGCAAACATTCGTGTTGGAGTCATATACAACATATGAAAACTGGATAAGAAATCGTGCATTATTTTATACACACTGCTACTTATCTTGGGGATTTGTAGCCCCATATGTTATGGCTGTTTTTCATGTTGTAGCTGCAATTAGATTGAAGTTAAATGAGTATTTTCTTGAAGAACATATTTTTGACCCTATTGGTGAGTTTTTTTTTTTTTTATAACCATTCAATAAGTGTAAAATTATTTATAAAGTTCATATCGACATTTTTTTTTAATTTTTTTTTATTTCCAGGTTTGATATTGGCTGGGTTTCTAGCTATATGCACTGGCATTACACTTCATTCAATGTGGAATATGACAAGAATAGAAGTTGAGTTATGCAACATGTTGTCCCCTGAGTCGCCTACATTGTCTCTTAAATCTTACAATTGGTTTTTGGTGAGTTTTTAAAAACTAATCTTCATAATTTTTCAAAAGTTTAAATGCAAGAAATATCAATTTACTTTCATTGTTTTGTACTTTTGTTTATTATAGCAATGCCATTCACAGTTATAATTTGGGTAGATTTTTCCAAGTATAATGGCCTAATTATATAAAAAAAAACACCGAAAAGGATGCTATAATAGTATAATACACAAATAAATGAAAGTACATAGTTATTTTTTGCGTTTAACTTTTAACCTTTTGAATCGTTAATTATGAGGTCATGAATACTGATCCAATTTAAAAAATGAGGGAACAGGTGTTTGTTGCAATGTTGGTGGACAATTTTTTCTACCCGATTTCAGCATTTTGTTCCCATTTTTCTCAGTCTGTTATTTGGTCTGGTATTCGGTATTATTTGAGGAGGGGGAAGATAGTAAAGGTATGATTCATTAAAGATTAAAAAAAATGAATATGGTTAAATCACGAGTTTAAGTATTTACACAATTTTTAATAATTTTGTATTTTTTATGATCAGATTGAAAGAAGCCAAAAGGGTAGGAAACTTTCAGATTTAGCAGCTAAGCGTTTGTATGTGAAGAAAAGAGGAGATCAAGAACAAGAACAAGCTCAAGCTCAAGCCAAACCCTCAATTGCACGTCATTTATCAAAAAGTTTTCGTTGGAGATTACCAAAAAAGCATCAAATGTAAAAAAAGATTTACTATTAACTGCTGACTTTTTAAACATTTACCATATATATATTTTCTTTCCCTAGTTCTTTTATTGTATATTTTGTAAACTTCTCAAGACAATACTTAAAAGAAAAAAAAAAGAACTGATTTTATTAAGAGAATTGCTACCATAAGCAATTTGGCATGAAATTTCCCAAAAACATATAAAAGTAGGTATTGTGACTTTCTCATTTCACTTGCATAACATTTATGACACTTGATAATGTGGCCTAATTAGGACTAAAATTTTAATGTAGTTCACAAAATACATTACCATTGTGGTCGTATTATGTGACATATTCAACACATTTTCTTGATAATGTGTTCAAAGGGAACCAAAATGTGACTAACATGGTAATGTATTCTGCAAAGTACGTTACCATTTTCGTCATATTATATGACATGTTGAATACACTTGATCAACACTTGTAACCTACTCATAACACGTTAATAACAAAGTCATCAGATACATTAATGTAATATAGCAAACTTTACCAAAGTGGCAAAATTTTCCCCACTTAGGGGGGTCAAAATAACCCCAATTTGATGGGACTTTAGATAATAGTTATATATTACATAATTGCCACATTACTATCTACACGTCGTTGTTATTTGAACGAATATATGGTGATTTTATTTCCTATTCCATCAAACAATCACTTTATCAAACATTAAACAACTTTTACATCTTTACCCGTTCTAGTTAAAGATTATTTTCAATTTGTATCCTTTTGTATTTTGAAAAATGACTTTCATTCATTATTACTTCAATTTAATATATATATATATATATATATATATATATATATATATATATATATATATATATATATATATATATAAAATGAGAACCACTAAAGGTTAAGAACCGTATGAACCACTAATTTTAACTAATAATTAACTAGTGTTATACCCATCCGGTGAACGGGTTGACTAATGTAAAAACAATAGATTGATCTTACCTTCTTTTATAGCATCCTTTTTTCATTTGCTCACATATTAGCATTGTATAATGACAAATCTACCCAATTATATTACATATGAATGAATAAAAGAATAGCAATATATTCAATTTCCTAATAATCAAACACACTAACAAATGGCCACATCAAATTCGAAAAGTTACAATGAAAAAGGTTACAAATCGAGTCCGACACTTGCAAATAAATGGAGAAAATGAACAAAATTTCCTAAGATCCAAACAGTACCTAACTCATGGAGTCAATACTCAAAATTTGCCTCCACCTATTTAGCTTAATTGTTGCTGGTGAGTAACATATGCATAACAAAAGGCTTGTATTATGTAGTATTATACATGCATGCTCGAATCATGCGGTGACCATATCCATCATAAATATGATTTCCATAGTATACTGCTGGACATTGATTCCTAAAATCATTATCAACTGCAAATTTCAAGAACCAGATTAGAAAACGATATATATTTCTACCATCTTAATCCGATAATGCGTTAACCAAAAAATCGAATTTAGCAAAACCTTGATTCTTTCAAATAACAAAATAAAGCAATATTGTTGGTATCATATTATTAAATCAAGAAATTTGCTTTCAATTAACAAATAAATATGAAACAAAAGAAAAGAACATGCATGATAAGAAAAGAACCTAATACTCGCAAAACAAAAGAATGTGGTGCAGTGGTGATGTAAAATAGTAATTTTTGAGCCATTTTACTTTGATTCCTCAAAAGGGCATTATTGACCAAACAAAAACAACACACATGTTAATATTACTTTTTCCTTTTTAATTATCTTAATTTATTCGGTTTTACATCAGGTTAATATTACTCTACAGTCTCTACTTCTATGTTTTATAGTAGAAAGGAATGGAAGTACCAGAGCAAAACAAGGGATTTTAGCATTAAAGTTTAATAACTGAATAACATAGCAAAACAGGGGAAAGGTGGGGAAGGAAAGATTGAGATAAATAATTGAAGAATAAAGGGTATTTCCAAAGTTTCTTCTAACAATTGACATAAAGGCTAGACATGGTAACCCTTAATGTTTTCCTTCACGTCCCACACGTCCAAATTCCTATAAATATTAAATATTATTGGATAAATTAACATATGATGGAAATGTTAATTACTTGATGGTTACTTATACTAACCATTACCTCACATTCCCTGGTGTATTTCATCACTGGATGTTCGTTAGCTGAACATCATGTGGAATGCATACAACTTCCTAAGGATCCAAGGTACTAACATAAATGTATCATTATCTGATATGATATGATGACCTGTGATTTCAAGTAGGCTTAGCTTCATGTTAAGATAAATTTAATCTTCAATCAGATTAACTGCAACTTAAGAAAATACAATATCATAACAGAAAAAATGAAAGTAAGAAAATTACCTTCCTATTTTTTACAATTAGCTCCTAAAGATTTCCCATTGTCATAGCTCCTTCTTAATACTCCAAGCTATGGGATAATTTCCCTATTCCATTGTTGTGAACACTCTGAAAAAACAAAAGGAATCATAAAAACCTAAATAAAATGTATGAAGTTCAAGAATGTAAACCTTTATCTTGGTGTGTTAGAGACCGATTCGAGGTGGTCAACCTTCCAAGAATAATAGGTAAAGATGATGATAAAGCCGATTATGGATAGCTATTCCCCAAGAACAAAGATAATCAAATAGACTAAAACATAGTTTTCTCCATCTCCTTCATAATGAAAATACATCCATGTATATAACTAAATAATCCTATATACTACTAGCTAATAATAAGGAAAACATGTAATCATGGGGTAATGAAAATGTGTACTACTAATTAAATGGAAATATGCATGCATGTTTGGAAGCTTCCAGGAAGTGAGGTTGGACTTTTTCAATTGCAAAGTAATGGCTATGTGTAAACCATATTATCAATCCAGTTGGGCCATGGAGGTGACCTTGTGTATAACCCTAAACACGTATCGTGGTGTTTGAGCACTTGCTCTTGGATTTCGGTGGTGCAATTCATTCTTATTGATAGCAAAGCTAGTCATTTGTGTTATCTGATAAATTCATGTCCAAGTTGTAACATCCTAAAAATCATAGAAATTTAAATTTTTCAAAAACAACTCATTAACCATAAAGTGTTTACAAAAAGACCATTGTTTCAAAAGTATAATCATAATCAGAGTATCTCAAGATCCAGTGTCATAAAAAAGGAAGATGTGTACGATCACGCCTTCGCTTTCCCATGATCCTCTGAAGTACCTGAAACAATAAACTAAAATCGTAATCCAAAGCTTAGTGAGTCCCCCAAAGTACCACCACATAACATAACAAATAACAACATGCAAATATGAACCTTCAGCCTGACTGAACCACCTCGTAGGTCCTACAGCTTATTCGGACCGCCCCGGGTGTCTTGGCCTTCAGCACAAAGCAGGACCGTCTCAACCCAACCATAATATGTCGACATATACAACAGATAAACATAAACACATATCCAACAAATACAGGTAATCATACAGATATAGTAATCTATCATATAACCAGCATAACATCATCCTATATACTCGGATACATAACCTAGTGGGCTGACATTGGTGCCTTCGACCCATAAGTACACTGAGGAAAACTCACCTCTCAGTCCGAACAATCGTTGAATAGATCTCTGCTCCGAGTATCAGCTCAAATCGTCACATATTCATCAAATAGTGACCAATCTCAAATACAACTCAACCAAAATATCCTTGGGTCAAAATTGGTCAAAGTCAACGGTCAAAGTCAAAGTCAACTACAATAGGCCGCCACGCCATGGCCATCCTTGGTGAGTCTCAGCCCAGCCGCCACGCTGTGGAGACCTAGTCCACGTCGTGGGCACTGGGCTCCCAACAACTTAATGGATTAAGTCGATTTCCTTGATCTTAAGGGCTCCAAAGCCCATATCTGGTCCATTCTAAGATCCAAGTGGATAAAGTTTCCAACTTTATCCCTTTAGACTCTCTAAGGGATAGAGATCCCATTTCTAGATCTAAATAGGGCAAAAACCTAACTTGGCTTAGCTCATTAAGCACTTTCTCTTAACATGCATGTCCAATTCATGTCTTGGACTCTATTAGGTAAAAATGAGGGTTTTTGGCCAATTTTTCCATGCATGATGCTAAAACTCAATGTTACTCCAGATCCAAAGTATCAAAGGCCCAAAATGACCTGGAGATTCATAAAGTTACAAGTGGAGAGAGAGAAAGTAGGATTTATTATATGAATAATAAATTGGTACTCATAATGGTTTTATTAATATATTACAAGATTAATATATTATTTGGAAATCATATTATTAATTAGTAATTAATCAGAAATTAATTTAATATTAATTTTGATATTAAAGGAACTGATTAATAATTGAGGGATTGTTATGCAAATCATTGATAGTTGCAGAATTGGGCTGATTGGACTCCTTAATTGTGGAGTGGACGAAATCCTGTAGGAGGCCCTATAGATTTTGTCCAAGGCCTCTTAAAGAGGTGTCAATGGGCTGCTTGTTGCCTAAGTAAGGTGTTAGGGTTTCCACCTGAAAACCCTAGCAGCCACAACTATTTAAAGACCCTTATACATGAAGAAAGGGCCCTATGCTTCTTGGAGTTGCCCTAGCCGAATTCCACCTCTCTCCTAAGTCATCCTGTTGCATTGGGTGTTTGTGACTCCATTAGAGGTGCAACACTTGGGGCACTAGGCTTTCAGAAGTCAAGATAAAGAAGGATTATACTTGTTATTGCTACATAACAAGAAAGGTAAGCTTCTAACCCTAGTTTATATGTCAATTTCGAATTGTGTATGCTAGTCCATAGGGTTATTGCTTTGGAGTTCATAGTTGTATGTTCAATAGAGAAAAACTTAGATCCAAAGCAATTAGGGTCGCATGTACACCATAGGAATGTTGTTATGCTGAAAACCCATCAGTGATATCAGATCCTAAGTCATTTTTCTATTGAATTGGTGCAAGAGTGAACTGCCAAAA